AATAGTGTAATAAAAAGGTCATGTCGCAATTTTTCAAATTTGCCAAAATTAAAATGAACGGAGGGGATAGTTTATGTCTACCCAATTTAAATTTGGTGGAAACAAAATTTTCATTTCTTTATTGCATTCTCTAATCCGTAGTATATGCAAATCTCATATCATATTTTCATATATTATATTTTGTTAAAATCAGTACTTCTAATCTAATAGCCTGTTAAGAAATAAAGTAGTAGAATTTTCAACTATCATGAAACTATTTTTGCATAATGAATACATATTATTGGTGTATCATATAATTATGGCAGTTTTGTGTTTGATATATTCATTAAATATTATGTTTATTTTACTTTACATTTTATTGCTTTTTTTGCGCTTATTGTTTTGTTAAATACTCCTTTTCATGAAAGGAAAGAGAAATAAATATAACCATGAAAATATGGACAACAGACAAGATTGGAAAAATCGTATTAAAAAATAAATTATTAATTCAAATTAAATGTTATAATTATAATTTATTTTATTTTTAATTCACAGCAAGCATCTCATTTTTTTGTCATCTGGTTCGATATACAATTAGTCATTTTCGATATAAAAATGTATAAAATGTGTTTCTATTTATACAAAACGAAAGAAAAGTATATGCAAATACAAATATATATTTTGTCCTAAATACTTATAATTATACAAATATAGATCTCATTAAATAAATTACAATGTATAAATGAATATATAAAAAACTGAACAATTTATATAAAATTAAATGTTTCTCGTGAATTACACAAATCAAAAGCTCCATAGCGAACATTTTTTTTTGTATGGAGCTTAATTACACAAACTATATCTATAGCATACAAATATAGTTTTTATATTTATTATACATAAAAATTCCTTTTTATTTTTCAATACAATACTTTGTTAAGGTTTTTTAAAAAGATACAATATATAAAGGGATAAACAATTATTATTATTATTATTATTATTTTCATTAATATAATTCTATTTTTCTTTAAAACCAATCAATGACGGTAACTTTTTTGAGTAGGAAAGTATTTAGTTTATTGACAAACAAAAAGTTGTGGTTATTCGATGTTAATATCTTTGATAAAATACTTTTTGTTGTGGCTATTCGATGTTAATATCTTTGATAAAATACTAATTCTAAATTGGCCTTACTACATATATTAGTAAGAATTATAAATAGGGCTGGGCATAAACACCGGAAAATCGAAACATCTTATCGAATCAAATTTTTTTGGTATTTCGTTTTTTTTTGGTTTTCGATTCAGTAATCGATATATGTTTTTGTATTTTTTGATATTTCGGTTCGATTTTCGGTATGTAATTTTGTGTAATTCGGTATTTCGGTTTACCGAAATATATTATATTATAATATATATTTATATTATATTAATTATTAATCTTAAATAATAAATATTATAATTTAAAATAAAAAAATTAAAAAGTAAAAGACTTTTTAATATAACTATTTTTAGCCCATTAAGCTGAAAATCAAACAAAAAAATTTGTAAATTTTTAAAAGCCCAACTAAGCAGGCCCTAAAAAAACCGAAATAACAAAATCGAACCGAATCGAAATATTTTGGTTCGGTATTCGGTACACAATTTACAAAAACTGAAAATCAAAAAAATCGAAAAAAAATCGAAACCGAACCGAAATACCGAATGCCCACCCCTAATTACAAATAATTGAATTTATCGTCAAATATTTATGAATAATTAGTGAAGTGCACTTATAAGAGCTTGAACAAAAGTTAATTATTATTCACGTGAGTGCATAACTAAAATAGAAGTGTCAAAAATGAACCTAAAAATAAGTAATTTGCTTAATTCACCCATAATTTTAAGGATTGGGCTTAAGATAATAAAAATGGATTAATTACGTGAATATACAACTTAAGTTTACATATTCTCCATATTTCCCTTATTTTTTTAAAAATACTAAAATCTCTATTTTTTAATAAGTCTAATTTAACAGATACATTATTAAATTAGAATCCTAATAAATCCTAACCAATTAAATCTTATCCCTAATTTTACTCTTTATTTTCTCCAAATAAAGAACCCATTTACACCACTCCCAAAATTAATGCGTCAATTTCTCAACGGTTCATCTTCTCAATTTTGAAAATCAAAATTTGTGCTCTCCATCCGTCAGCCTTCGTCTAATCTGTCCGCCATTTTTGTCTACTTTGTCAGCCTTTGAAAATCAAAATTGTGCTCTCCGTCCGTCCGTCTTCGTCTAATCTGTCCGCCATTTTTGTCTACTCTGTCCGCCTTAAAAAATCAAATCACCAATTTCGTCTACTCTGTCCGCCATTTTCGTCCAATATTCTTGAAAGGTATTGTGTTCTTCTTCGATTCA